TGCGAAGGACTCGGGTTTGGGGGCTTCATGTGTGTAAAGCACCCGCAATGGAGGGTTTAGGGTTTAGGGTTTAGGGTTTAGGGTTTAGGGGTTTAGGGGTTTAGGGGTTTAGGGTTTAGGGTTTAGGGTTTAGGGTTTAGGGTTTAGGGTCGCACTCCACCCCCCCCCCCCCAGTTGTCACCGCTTCCAACTGTCGTTTACCCCACTCACTTGGACCCCAAACCCAGACCTCCAATACCTGAACTGTAAACCCACAGCCCTAAACCCTGAACCCTGAACCCTGAACCCTGAACCCTGAACCCTGAACCCTAAACCCTAAACCCTAAACCCCAAACCCTCAACCCTCAACCCTCAACCCTCAACCCTAAACCCTAAACCCTAAACCCTAAACCCTGAACCCTAAACCCTAAACCCTAAACCTAGGGGCCCGAGCCGGTTTGGCCCGAAGGCCACGTCGGTCAGCGGCTGTCCCAGGTCGAAGGCCTTCTCTTCGCAAAGGCTCAGGATTTAGGGCGTCTTAGGGGGTTGAGGGTTTAGGGTTTAGGGCTAGGGTTTAGGGTTTAGGGTTTAGGGTTTAGGGTTTAGGGTTTAGGGTTTAGGGTTTAGGGTTTAGGGTTTAGGGTTTAGGGCTTTAGGGCTTTAGGGCTTAGGGTTTAGTGGTTTAGGGCTTAGGGTTTAGGGGTTTAGGTGTTTAGGGTTTAGGGTTTTACTAAAACCCAAAATTTAGGGTTTCGGCTCTGCATTTGGGGCTTTGTGTTGTAGGGTTGAGGATTTCGGAATGTAGGGCGCTAGGGCTTTAGGTTTTTTGTCCTTTACAGTTTTAGGGCTTTAGGGCTAGGGTTTCAGGATTTAGGGCTTAGCGTTTTAGGCTTAGGGTTCAGGGTGGTTTCTGGCTTTATGTTTACAGGGTTTAGGGTGGGGTGCACGCTTGGGCGTGGGGTGGGGGAATTCAGACGCATTGATCAGGGTTGAGAGGTCTAGAATTGTTTTCTGTTTGTATCAAGGCCCTTGGGCGGCGGCTTATAACTATGAGGGCTTAAGATTCCCAAGAACCCTTCAAACACAAAACCCAAAACCCAAAACCCTAAACCCCAACCTAAACCCTAAACCCTAAACCCCAAACCCTAAACCCTAAACCCCAAACCCGAAACCCTAAACCCCAAACCCGAAACCCTAAACCCCAAACCCTAAACCCTAAACCCTAAACCCCAAACCCTAAACCCCAAACCCCAACTCCTGAACCCCACGCCGAAGGCCTGCTGCATGGAACCCATCTCCACATCCCACAAGGCACAGATGCCGTAGACGTCGCATGACCTGGGCTTCGGGTTCTAGGATTTTCGGGTTTCTAGGGAACCCCAAAAAAGGGGAAAAAAGGGGTCCCCAGGTTTCTTGGGGTTTCTAGGGTTTTTAGGGTTTCTAGGGCTTTTAGGGCTTTAACTCTTCAGGGCTGTAGAAGTTCAGGGTTTAGGGTTTTAGGGCTTCTAGGGTTTCTATATAGGGCTTTAAGTTTTCAGGGCTTAAGGAGTTCAGGGTTTAGGGTTTTAGCGTTTTAAGGCTTTAGGTTTAGCATTTTGGGGCTGTAGGGTTGTAGGGCTTTAAGGTTTTAGGGCTTCAGGGTTTTGGGGCTTCAGGGTTTCAGGGTTTTGGGGCTTTAGGGTTTAGGCTTTAGGGTTTTAGTGTTTAGGGTGTTAGGGTTGCGAGTTGAGGGCTTTAGGGTGTAGGTTTTGGGGTTTAGGGGTTTACCTGCATGCCGTATACACCCCAGAAGCGACCCTATAAAGGGCCTTTTTGAGGGATTCTGGGATGTCATATCCTGGCATTGGTTTGAGAGAGCCTTTTGACTAGTGAACTCCATGTCCTGGTCGCAGAGCCTTCAGAGGGCCCTTACTTTCGTTGACCCCTTAGACTCCAGGGGTTTAGGGTTTAGGGACTAGGGTTTAGGGTTTAGGGTTAGTTCTAGAACTCGGTGTATACTGACAGTATACACCGTAAGGCGTAATCAGTAGGTTCCCTCACCCTTATCGTGTCCCCAGGGTCAAGCACAAGCACTGCGCCTGCCACCTACAGGGTCCAAAACCCAAAACCCAAAACCCAAAACCCAAAACCCAAATCCCAAAACCCAAACCCTAAACCCTAAACCCTAAACCCTAAACTCTAAACCCTAAACCCTAAACCCTAAACCCTAAACCCTAAACCCTAAACCTAAACCCTAAACCCTAAACCCTAAACCCTAAACCCTAAACCCTAAACCCTAAACCCTAAACCCTAAACCCTAAACCCTAAACCCTAAACCCCAGGGATCTGGTGTCGAGGGCGGGACGCCATCTGTGCTCCAGTGGATGCAGTGCTGATTGGCCTGCTCTCTGGGCTTTGGGCATCGCTCCTCTTAGAGCTACTCAGACATCGATAACAAGAAGAACCAGGACTAAGTAGGCACTAGAAGTAAGGGCAAAGTCGAACCATGAACCGAGTCGCACGAACATCGTTCAAAAAAGCCCGAGATAAACCCAAAACCCTAAACGTTAAGCCCAAACCCTAAACCATCACCCCCTCAACCACCCCCTCAACCCCAATATCACTCTCCCTGGCTGGTTCTCTGTGGGGAATGCGGGAAGGAGGCACCCTTTGAAGTCTAAAGGGTGCATATAGGGCCCCTACTTCCCCGATTCCCTACCAAGAACCCGGGGGACTTCCGTGAGGCTCTGGCGACTCAGATGAGTCCACTGAGGTTATCGGAGTGCAACGTCCCTGGCGCGGCCAGGTTGTTTGGAGGTTTTAGGGGGGCTTCGGGTTTTCTGAAAGGAGCCGCTGACGCAGTGCTACATATGAGGATGTGGAAGGCTTTCTTCCCCGAATTGAGTACAGTATCCAAGCCTCTGAAACCCCGATGTTTTTGACAAGTCCTGAAGCTTGAGTGGCCAATTCTGACAGGACCGCTTGCGGCATCTCAGCCCAAACCCCTGCCTTTACACTGAGATCCACAAGCTTACGTAGGGTTTAGGGTTTAGGGTCCAAAAGTCACTTGAGAACCTCTTGGACCTTTGTGAGGCTGTTTATGCAGCATTAAGGTATGCGGGGCTCTGCCCGAAAAAAAACACCCTAACCCCTAAACCCCGAACGAATGCGCCCAGCCAGCATCACGCCGGAGTTGCCCCCTTTTTTCTCTCATCCAAGCAACGCTGGATTGCCTTTCTTCGGCGCTCGACTCAACAGTTCCGGACCCAAACAAGCCATGTTACGAGGCTAACCCTAAACCCTAAACCCTAAACCCCAAACCCTAAACCCTAAACCCTAAACACTAAACCTAAACCCTAAACCCTAAACCGCTTCAAGAACCCAAAGTTTGGGGCAGCTTCCTGGAGTCCCTTTTTGGGATCTCTGTTTTAAAGGGTGCCGCCTTATCATGGGTACCACCCCCAAAATAAGGGGACCATAAACTACCCCACATCGGGGTTTCCCGAAATTCGGGGCACCTTATTGAGGTCCTTAAACCCTGCTATTTGGGATCTAAATAAGAGGTCAATTATTGTCGTAAACCACCCCACATAGCAAGTTCGCTTGCGAAACCCTAAACCCTAAACCCCAACCCCTAAACCCTACACCCTAAGCCGCAAACCCTAAACCCTAAACCCTAAACCCTAAACCCTAAACCCCCCAAAGCAAGTTCGCAAAAAAAAACAGCTTCTCATCTCCTGCCTGCGGATTGGACTCATGGCGAAGAAGCCGGCACAGTTCGCCGTCCGCTCTCCACACCTTCTCAGAAGATGACTTGGGGTTTAGGGTTTAGGGTTTAGGGTTTAGGGTTTAGGGTTTAGGGTTTAGGGTTTAGGGTTTAGGGTTTAGGGGGTTTACGAAACTAGGGGATCTCAAAAGCAGAGCCCCAAATAGTAGGATTCCCTTAGAATCTAAGGACCCCAATAAGGTACCCCTAGTTTCGGAAACGAGCACCTCGTTTTCTCGTCATTTTTGGCCATGACGAAGATTTAGTGTTTAGGGCTTGGGGTTCGGGTTAGGGGTCAGGGGGGGGGGGGGGTTGGGGGGGGTTCAGGTGTTGTTAAGTTAAGGTATTAAGGTACTTGGAACTGGGAATCAAAATGCCGCACACACACTGCATGCTTGCCCTGCCTTGACAAGAAAGGTCAACCCACAAGGGAAAGAAAGGACCTGCGAGATCCACCCCAGCGACTTTCTATTACTTCTGGTTTAGGTTTTAGGTTCCAGAGAACCCTAAACCCTAAACCCTAAACCCTAAACCCTAAACCCTAAACCCTAAACCCTAAACCCTAAACCCTAAACCCTAAACCCGAATCCATAACCCAGCTAACATGCTGGCCACGGATACTCAAAAAAGCCGGAGCAGCGAGTTTAGGGTTTAGGGTTTAGGGTTTAGGGATTAGGGTTTAGGATTTAGGGTTTAGGGTTTAGGATTAGGGTTTAGGGTTTAGGGTCTAGGGGTCCACTTTGCGCTCCGTACCCATCTTCCTGCTATACTCCATACTCTAAACCATGTCTCGTCCAAGCTGGAAAGTATACGAGCTAGAAACCTTTAACTTCCTTGCCCATGGCCTTTTCAGCAAGTGCCCAAAACCCTAAACCCTAAACCCTAAACCCTAAACCCTAATCCCTAAACCCTACTTTTCAGCAAGTGAAGTGAAGCGGTCGGTTCCATGGCGTGCTTGGCAAGCCGGCATCGGTGACACCCACAGAGAGTCAGGCCTCTGAGCTGTAGCGAGGCCTTCACAGGTACTCTAGACCCAAGAGTAACCTATCGCAATGGTTTAGGGTTTAGGCTTTAGGGCTTAGGGTTTAGGGTTTAGGATTTAGGATTTAGGGTTTGATTGTTCACCCTTTTTGGCTTTAAGGGGCTTAGGAGGGAGCCTGAACACTGGGTCCTTGTAGTTAGCTCCTGTTGGATGGGTAGGCTGGGGTTCCCCAGGCAAGGGTTCAACAACATGGCGTGAAACAGCAAAACTACCCCGAAAGAGCCCCCAGCTCCCTTAGGGAGGAGATGCCCGAACAGTTGTCTTCAAAGTGCCAATCACGACGGGCAGTTGCTCTCGCCCATGCTGCGCCAGCTTTCTGATGGCCTGCAAGAGATCCTTGACTTCCTCTCCGTCGCACGCTGCCGTTTAGGGCTTAGGGTTTAGTTTCGGAAGCTAGTAAGGGAGTAGCGGGTTTAGGGTTCAGGGTTTAGGGGTGAGCTTTCTCTCACTCTCCCAAGACACACAGATGCACATGTAGATGTGTACGTTTATGTACGCACGTATCTACATGCATGAAAGACATCTCCGCTTCGCAGGCCAGCTCCACTTGGCGAGCGTAAGCTCTAAACGCTGATGAAGAAACCAACTAATACCAAAAAAGACTAAACTCCTTAGCAGGACTTCTTTTAGCAAACACGAAATATCTGCGAACTCCGGTGCACGCCCAAAACAAAGCTGAAACCCTGGAAACCACCCAAACCAGGCAGGCACTGCAAACGGAAAGTGAGAAGCAACAACAATGCCTTGGACGACACATTCAACCCTAAACCTTACACCCTAACCCTAATTAAACCCTAAACCCTTGAGAAGACAAGATGGCACAAAGTTTCAGTTTTCTTCTACACGTCCGCTGCGTGCTCAGGGGGCCATGCTTTGCTCAGGCGAGTGAGGTCTACCGCTCAGAATCCCTAAACCCTAAACCCTAAACCCTAAACCCTAAACCCCTAAACCGTTGATCTTTCAGGGTTCGGGGGTTGAAGACTTCTTCGGGAATTTACTAGGTTTGGAGTTTACTTTACGGTCTGTTCCAAAGTCTATTCGTCTAAAGACATGGCTTCTGGGGTTTCGTGTTTAGGAGTCTGTGGGTTTTGGGTTTTGGGTTTAGGGTTTAGGGTTCACCTACTTGTCCAATAACCAAGGGGGGAAAAGGTGAAACTTTATGATTCCTACTAAATACGGAAGCCCAAAACATCTATAAAGTTCGGCTGTTGGAGAAGTAAGCCTAAACCGGCCCGTACCCGAAACCCGGTCCAGACCCCCCAATGTTTCAGGTTTCTAGGTTCTGGGTTTTTGGGTTTTTCGGACACCCCCACACAAAACCTTTAAACCAAACCCGTCCTGGTGGTAAACCTGGAGCTTTGCATTCAAGGAGAGGTGCAGGCCATCGACGAAGTTCGTTACCTGGGCAGACGGGGGTGGGTGGGTGTAGCTACTCTTGTATAAGGGCTAGGGGTTGAAGGAACACTAAACCCTAAACCGGTCAACTAGGTGTTCAAGGCTACGGGAGAAGGCTTCATGGCGCCGTGTCTTGCCATAAATGGAAGGTACGCCCCGCAAGTACCCCAAGTCAACCATGTAGTACGGTCTAGGGCGTGGCTACACTCCGTTGGCATCCCCACCCCATGGAACAGCTTCCTGCAAGGCTCCTCATGGTGAGAACCCTCAAGAGACGGAACAACCCAGCCGCACTGTGTAGAAGATACTACAGCCTACGCTCTTCATCAACAAGATTGCCGTTGAGGGTCCTTGCTCGCATCGGACTTCTCGTCCGAGCCCATGCTTGTGATGCGGGCGGCCAAAGTGACGCTAACCTATACTCCGCTCAGAAAAACAAGCAAACATAAAAAAAATAAAGTAAGCCTAAATAGCTTAATGTGAAAGACGCCACGAGCCCAAAACCAGAAAACGCCGCCAGCCGTATAAGGACCGCAGAGCAACGTTTGAAATGGCATCACGCACGCGGTGCAGATCTTTGCGCACCTCATCCTGCGAAGACTGCACAGCTTGCAGCACGGTTGTGAAGCCAATGTCGAACTGCCTGTCTCCGATGCTCTTGCCTGGGTTGTCCAGTAAACTGGGGGAAGTTCAAGGTTAACCTTTGGGCTTTTTGGGGGATTAGAATACCCCAAAGAGGTTAAAGGTTGCCGACTCTACTACCAAGTTGCCCAGATCTGTGACCTTCGATTCGAGGTGCTGGACCAGCGAAGCACACTCGGCATGGCATGTCTGGCTTTGTATTGCGTGCAGCACCTTGCCCAAGTCCACGCTGTGTTTGGCATTTACCTGGGGGGGTCTGAATTAGGGGTCCCTTATTGGGGCCCTTATGATACTTTAATGGAATCCTACTATTTGGTTGTTTTTGTTTGTTATAAGGGGTCCCTTATTTTCGTCAAATTCCCGCCTCGTGAATTGCCGCCAATGCTGTTTCGACTGACAGCTGCTTGTCTTTGATATCTGCCAGCACTGCAGAGCTATAGGTGTCAGACCTTTCCTGACAGATGGCGACCAGAGCTTGCTGATTGGCTTGCATGACGCCGAGGAGAGCAGAATGGTGATCGCTAGATTTCGACTCGATGCTCGACTGTGCACTTTGAATGAGATCAAGAACAGGCTTCCTGTCATCGTGAAGAACCCTCAGCGTGGTTTTTACTTCTGTAACAGCTTTCAAGAGCTCCGAAACGTCTACGCCAACCTTTGGAAGGATCACGTTCAACTTGGTCTCAATCTCAACCAGTCGAACGTCATGTTCGCTCTTCTGATCACGAATGGCGCGCAGCACCTCTGGCCAAGCCGACTCAGACCTGGCCAGGACAAGGGCTGTCAGAGCGGCGCTGATCTCTGCTAATGCTTTGGGAACGTCATGGCCCCGCATCGCATCGCAAGTGGCTTGTGCCTTTCGGTCCAGAACTTCGATGACTGTGGCACGCACCTCCGCCACGATCCTGGGAGCATCAATAGCCGATTTCACCTCCTCTGGGTCAATGCCAGGCTTCATGTCCTGCGAGAAAGCTGTCCGCACGGCCGAAATCTCCCCGAAGATTCTGGCCAGCATGGCCTTCATCTCTGTCAGCGTCGACACGCATTTCTTCTCAAGCGCGTCTTCGACCACGCCTGACAACTCCATGCTGCGCTTCTTGTCCTCGACGAAAGACGTCTGCATAGCCCTGACCTCACCCAAGATAACGTGAATGGCCCTCAACTCCTCTGGCATATCCACGCAGGGCTTCTTGTCATCTCGGATGGCAACTAACGTTTTCGTCATCTCCGCCAAAGTCGCCGCAATGGCGTCCACGCCATGCTTCTTCCTGTCTTCGAGGATGCCTGTGAGTGCGGCCTTCATCTCTGTCAGCGTCGACACGCATTTCTTCTCAAGCGCGTCTTCGACCACGCCTGACAACTCCATGCTGCGCTTCTTGTCCTCGACGAAAGACGTCTGCATAGCCCTGACCTCACCCAAGATAACGTGAATGGCCCTCAACTCCTCTGGCATATCCACGCAGGGCTTCTTGTCATCTCGGATGGCAACTAACGTTTTCATCATCTCCGCCAAAGTCGCCGCAATGACGACCACGCCATGCTTCCTGTCTTCGAGGATGCCGGTGAGTGTGGCCTTCATCTCTGTCAGCGCCGGCATACACTTCTTCTCGAGCGCCGAGTCAACTACATCTGACGAAAACATGCCAAGCTTTTTCTCATCTTGAGCAGTATTTAACATGCTCGTAGTCTCTTTGAAAGTCGTTGTGATGCGTTGTTCGCACTTTTCAGGAAGGACTTTCACCAACTCCAGAATGTCCACGACAAGCTTCCTGTCTTCGAGGATGCTGGTGAGTGTGGCCTTCATCTCTGTCAGCGTCGACACGCATTTCTTATCAAGCGCGTCTTCGACCACGCCTGACAACTCCATGCTGCGCTTCTTGTCCTCGACGAAAGACGTCTGCATAGCCCTGACCTCACCCAAGATAACGTGAATGGCCCTCAACTCCTCTGGCATATCCACGCAGGGCTTCTTGTCATCTCGGATGGCAACTAACGTTTTCGTCATCTCCGCCAAAGCCGCCGCAATGACGTCCACGCCATGCTTCCTGTCTTCGAGGATGCCGGTGAGTGTGGCCTTCATCTCTGTCAGCGTCGACACGCATTTCTTCTCAAGCGCGTCTTCGACCACGCCTGACAACTCCATGCTGCGCTTCTTGTCCTCGACGAAAGACGTCTGCATAGCCCTGACCTCACCCAAGATAACGTGAATGGCCCTCAACTCTGGCATATCCACGCAGGGCTTCTTGTCATCTCGGATGGCAACTAACGTTTTCATCATCTCCGCCAAAGTCGCCGCAATGACGACCACGCCATGCTTCCTGTCTTCGAGGATGCCGGTGAGTGTGGCCTTCATCTCTGTCAGCGTCGACACGCATTTCTTCTCAAGCGCGTCTTCGACCACGCCTGACAACTCCATGCTGCGCTTCTTGTCCTCGACGAAAGACGTCTGCATAGCCCTGACCTCATCCAAGATAGCGTGAATGGCCTTCAGCTCCTCTGGCATATCCACGCCGGGCTTCTTGTCATCACGCACGGCAGCCCGTACCTCTGCGCATATTCTGGGTAGATCAATGGCTTTCACCACCTCCGACAAGTCCAGCGTAGGCTTGTGGCCGTCAAATACAGTCTTCATTGTCTTCGTCGTTTCCCGAATCTCTGCTAGAACAGTTGGGATGTCATGAGCGTGCTTTTCATCACGAAGTGCTTCCACCACCTCCAACATCGTTTCTACCTTCACGTGCAATGCGTCCACTTGAACCTGCAAAGGGTCGATCCGTGTGTGCAACTCTGGCGGGCTGGAAAGGCCTGGCTCCACCGGGCCTGGGCCTGGGCCTGGGCCTGGGCCTGGGCCTGGGCCTGGGCCTGGGCCTGGGCCTGAGTCTGGCACCACCGGCAGCGCTGGCACCACTGGCATCGCTGGGCCTGGGTCCGGTGGGTCCGGGCCTGGGCCTGATGGGCCTGGCGGCACTGGATGGAACTCCTGAATGGCCTTGATTATCGAGATTTCGGTCTTCCGCAGCATGTCTGCCATCATGTCTGCCATCACGCACTGCAATGTCTCCAAGCTGTAGTGGCAACGCCCACAGGTCGCCTTGCCCAGATCCTCCACGTCCGGACACTTCTCACTGCCAAGATGTCCAAATGGTGTCTGGAAGGTATCCTAGGATGACCTTTAAAACCCTGTTAAAAAATATTCCTGAGCATGATCCTCCTAATACCAATAAGGGAATAATGGGAAACATATCCCCAATCCTACCTAGTATCAATCTTCTGCCAGTTGTGGCGGCCACGATTGAGTTTGGACACATCCAAAGTGCGGAATTGCGCGAGTGAGCGGAACGTTGATGAACACCCCATGCTGTAGGGTGACGACTTGGCCAAGCCTGCTGGAATGCTGGAATGGGACAAGTTCGGTAATTATTTGGGGCGGGGTTTCCGAAATTAAAGGGGTGGGGGTACCTTATTGGGAGTCCTTATTATCAGGGAATCCTTCTCTTTGGGGATCTAGATAAACTCCCATGTTGCGGGCTTGCCGAGGGCCGAGCTCTGGAATACAGTGTGGTAGGAGTAGATGATCCCTGAAGCTAATGAAGTTCTAAAGCCTGGCATTTCCAAAATGAATCAAAACAAATCTGCTGAGGCCATGGCGCTTGTCACAAAACCCGAAGATTAGTTCTTGCTACTTTGCCCCCCCACTCGTCAAAAGGTTCTACCCAGGCCAAGAAACTTTCACGGATGGCATGCTTCGCTATGCCTTAGTTGTCCAGTACCTAGAAAAACTAAAGGTTAACCTCTGCTACAAGGGGGTTATATTACCCCAAAAAGGTTAAAAGGCTACCTACTCTACTACCCTAAACCCTATAAACCCTAAACCCTAAACCCTAAACCCTAAACCCTAAACCCTAAACCCTAAACCCTAAACCCTAAACCCTAAACCCTAAACCCTAAACCCGAGTTAAAGGTCACATACTCTACTACTCCGAGATGCCTTCGGCGTGCTTGACGAGGCCTTCCTGGATCCCGTGCTTCAGCGGGTCGAGCTCATTGTACTTCGAGGCAGGGCCGAAGATCCGGAACTCTCCTGAAGTAGGGTTTAGGGTTTAGGGTTTAGGGTTTAGGGTTTAGGGTTTAGGGTTTAGGGTTTAGGGTTTAGGGTTTAGGGTTTAGGGCAAGTTTCAACAAAGTCCAAGAGAGCAGCTGTTGATGTGGAAATGCTGCTGCAAGTCTTAGGGCGTGGGGTTCACGATGTCAAGCTTGCAAGAAAGCTTGCGGAACCAGGGGAGCCCGCGTGAAGGCCATACCCGAGTGCAGAGCGGATGAAAGATCTACAAACAACCCCCACAACCCTGAATAAAAAATCGACCATAGAAACCGCCCTAAACCCTAACCCCTGAAACATGACGATACCCCGACCAGCCCGAGCAATTTGACCTCGAAGCCATCGACGAAATAGTCAGAGATATCAAACCCCAACCCCTAAACCCTAAATCCTTAACCCTAACGGGGGTTTCGGGTTGAGGGCTCAGGGAAAGCTTCATAGCCTCAACCCTATACTTCCTAGACTCTGAACATTGAGTCCTAAACCCTAAACCCTAAACCCTAAACCCTAAACCCTAAACCCTAAACCCTAAACCCTAAACCCTAAACCCTAAACCCTAAACCCTTTTGAGACTCGGATGCCTGGGCCTGCTGCAACTGCTCCAGGGTCCGGTGGTGGGCTGCTGCAGCCGTGATGAATCCTTCAGTCTTGAAGGCTCTCGCGCACGTAGGGTCTAGGGTTTAGCGTTTAGGGTTTGGGGTTTAGGGTTTAGGGTTTGGGGTTTAGGGTTTAGGGTTTGGGGTTTCGGGTTTGGGCTTAGGATTTATTAGGGTTTAGGGTTAGGGTAACGTTAAGGGGTACAAAGAGGGACCCCTGGAAGAGACCCTTAATCTTATTTCCCTATGTATATTTATGTAGAAATAGAAAACAAACATATAAATACACACCTAACACCTAACCCCTATATACCTGGAAAGTAGCCCCTAAATAACTCCCAAATGACGCCGAAACCTTATAAGTGTCCCTTAGTCACATGCGATGGGCTACAGCTTGCGTTTGTGCCTTCAACACCTTCAGCAACCCGGTGCCGATGCACATTGTACCTTTTGTGAGCTTCTTTGTCCCCTCAAGTGCCTAGAGGGTCCCTGTCAGGGACCTCAAGGGGGTTGTTCCTAAGGCATATCGGGAGTGCATACGGTATGCAAAGGGGGTTTTGTCGGGGAATAAGATCAAGGGTCGCTTCTAGGGGTGCCTCCTGATACCCCGTAATCCCCCTAGATGGAGGAGGCATTCCCTACTCAGAATTAGGGCCCTAAATGTACCCGTTAAGGGAGTATATAGGGTACCTCATTCCCAAAGAACCAGCCAGCCTAAGTCGAGAGTCTCCCGGGCACCATGCGCAGAGGCTGGCCTCTGTTTGCCGGAGGGCCGAGGCATCATGTCAGTCTGCGGAGCCTCACTGCCACGGCAGCCGCGGATGGCAAAGCGAGGGCGGCCCTAAACCCTAGCCCTAAACCCTAAACCCTAAACCCTAAACCCGAAACCCTAAACCCTATAAATTAATAAACCCTAAACCCTAAACTTACCCACCTGCAGCATGCTGCAGAGCCTGAATGAGCTGCGCAGGTTCTGGCTACAAGCTGCTCCAGCGTAGCATGCACTGGCAGGGCTCAGAAGAGCTCAGAAGGCCGACTGAGAGCGCCGGATGGCTGGTGGGCCAAGTACCGGCGATACAGGGTTTAGTAATCTATAGGGTTTAGGGTTTAGGAATTTATAGGGTTTAGGGTTTAGGGTTTAGGGTTTAGGGTTTAGGGTTTAGGGCTAGAGTTTAGGGCCGCCTACGACAGCCTAGGCCTAAGCGCTCCAACCCGTCAGGCGGTTGCTGCAGCGCATGTGGTGGACTGCAGTGGCCAGCATAAATATCCTTCCCCCGGCCCTGGCAGCTGTATCTGCTGTCTAACTTGTTAAATCAACGTTACCCTTCACTTTCAAACTCTGACGGAGAACGTAAACACCCTAAACCCTAACCCCTACACCCTAATGAAACCCTAAACCCTAACCCCCCCCCCCCCCTAAACACAGAGCTTGAAAGAGACTGCATGGCGGACACGCAGGTAGTCGCCGCTCGTCGCGAGCAGCTCACGTGAGCTGCCGCCCCCCAGCCAGCGCACCCTGTTGCCAGGGTTCAGGGTTTAGGGTTTAGGGTTTTGGGTTAGGGTTTAGGTTATTTTAGGTTTAGGGGTTTATAGGGTCTATAGGGTTTAGGGTCGGGTTTCAGAGGTTCAGGTCAGGTTTATTCGTAGTGGTTTTTAGAGTTTAGGATTTTAGGGTTTAGGGTTTAGAGTTTGGAGTTTTGGTTTCGGGGGGGGGGGGGGGGGGGGGGGGGGGGGGGGGGTGTTCGCGGTTTGCGTGCTTAGGGTTTGGGGGCTTGTCAGGGCTTCGGATTGTTTAGGGCTTAGGGTTCCGGGCTGAGGGTTTGGGGCTTGGGGTTTGACTGTTTCAGAGTAGCACCAAGTACAACACATACACACATTTGGGGTTTGCATGTTGGTGCTCTTGGGGCTTTGTGTTGTTCTTGTGTATTACAGTTTAGGTAGGGTTCAGGGCAACTCCCCACGGCAACAGCATGGTGTCTCTGCCTCAACCAGGTCCTTGCAGATTGGAACTCTGCACCGTGTTCCTACAGCACTTCCCCCACGCCCCAGCTTGTGTTGGGGTGTAAGGTTCAAGGCTCAAAGGCCCCGTAATGATTTCCATAAGTCCACGGGGGTTTAATATGGGGCTGCGCAGGAGCTTTCGTCATAGGGGGTATACAGCCTATGCTGTCCGGAGCGCGCCCCAGAAAAATGGCTGGTGCGAAACCCTGCAGTAAGCGAACAGCTTACCCCTTGAAGTAGCCTAAACCCTAAACCTTAAACCCTAAACCATGCTAAGACCCTGAGCCCCACCTCGTCGGAGGGTAGTAGTGTGGGAGGCGCATGGCGCTGCGGACTTCCTCGGACGCCAGAAAAAAAACTGTCGCAACCCACCACCTACAAAGATAGAGCGAGGCCTAGGGAGGTCTGGGGTTTAGGGTTTAGGGTTCAGGGAACTCGTGCCGAGATGAAGGTAGATGAACTCGTAGCCGGATGGGGCCTTATTTTCAAAAACACAGAGAGGCCCGGAGACAGTCACCATCTTCAGAGCTAAACCCTAAACCCTAAACCCTAAACCCTAAACCCTAAACCCTAAACCCTAAACCCTAAACCCTAAACCCTAAACCCTAAGCCCTAAACCCTAAACCCCAGAAATCTGGGGTGGCGGCTGTGCGGCCCTCGATGCCAATGGCCAGGACCTCCACAAAATTGGCTGCCTCCAGCTCGACTCAAGGCTCTACTTGGGGGTTCATGGTACTTATTAACCAATTATAACTGTACTTGTAACTGTACTTCTAAGCCCCTGAAGTGCCCTCATATGGTTATAAGTACAGCTATAAGTACAGTTATAATTGGTTAATAAGTAGCATGAACCTCCAAGCACTTGGAGGTTCATGGGTTACTTCTAGGTAGGGTTATAGGTGTGGTAACTACTGTACAGATATACTTAACTTTCAGGGTAATTACAACCCGACTTATAACTACCATGAGGTTTCAAGATAGGGATTAGGGTTCTGTAGGGCTACATACATGGTGGCCACATAGCCCTACTCATGTGTACCTTGTAGAGGTGCACTGGCTGCCATACCGCAAACTTTCGAGTGTACTGGTGCCACGATCACCGGGAGGATGCTATCATGCGTACGTAAATACAACATTACCTACAAGATATTGTGCATCTTATGTACAAGGGTCAGATTTTCTATGGGGATCCACGAGAGAGCCATGCCTCTGTGCTGCTTAGTCTTCATACCTACTGCATGTCAGGCGCCTGCCTCCTCGAGAAATTGCTCACTTGCCCTCAACACAGGGTCATATAGATAAAGCCTCTTCTCTATCGGCCCTAACATTCAACATCGTCGACTCAAATACAAAATATGACCCAAGTTCAATATTGGAGAGGGGGCCGGGCATTGTAGATTTGTTGCATGCGTGCCACCTGGTAGCCCAGTAACCATACTGGAACAAGGGTACGGCCCAGGAGTGTGTTAAGAGATTTTATTAATTAAGAAATCTGGACCTGGACCGGCCACACATTTTAAAATCCAGGGCCTCGCGGGCTCGCCCCAAAAAATTCCGCCGAGGAAGTATTAAGTAACGTTCTCTGTCATATTTACCAAGAACCCAAGAAACTGCAAGCCTCAAACCCTCTAATCCCTTAAGCCCCGTAGTCTCAACCTAAAGCCTCTGGGAAGAGGCCCGGCACAAAAAGTCACCTTTTTTGAGGTGTTTCAGGCCGGAAAGGCCCAAAACAGGTGACTTTTTGTGCCGGGCTCTTGCGGGGAAGAGGGCCGGCACAAAAAGTCACCTTTTTTGAGGTGTTTCAGGCCGGAAAGGCCCAAAAAAGGTGACTTTTTGTGCCGGGCTCTTGCCCTTTTTTGAGGTGTTTGAGGCCGGAAGGTGACTTTTTGTGCCGGGCTCATGCGGGGAAGAGGCCCGGCACAAAAAGTCACCTTTTTTGAGGTGCTTGGAGCCGGAAAGGCCCAAAAAAGGTGACTTTTTGTGCCGGGCTCTTGTGGGGATGCCGGGCTCTTGCGGGGAAGCCTTTAAGGGCTCAGGGCTCAGGGCTCAGGGCTCAGGGCTTAGGAACTGGTCCGGAAGAAGCACCTTTAGCTGCGGAGGGTAGAGTTTTTTAGGTTTCATTAGCCGAGTGGCATAAGGCGCAGCTCTTATAACCGAAAGGTTGCCAGTTCAAACCCCCCTCCGGCGCCTTAGGGCTTAGGGCTTAGGGGAAGAGGCCCGGCACAAAAAGTCACCTTTTTTGAGGTGTTTCAGGCCGGAAAGGCCAAAAAAAGGTGACTTTTTGTGCCGGGCTCTTGCGGGGAAGAGGCCCGGCACAAAAAGTCACCTTTTTTGAGGTGTTTCAGGCCGGAAAGGCCCAAAAAAGGTGACTTTTTGTGCCGGGCTCTTGCGGGGAAGAGGCCCGGCACAAAAAGTCACCTTTTTTGAGGTGTTTCAGGCCGGAAAGGCCCAAAAAAGGTGACTTTTTGTGCCGGGCTCTTGCGGGGAAGAGGCCCGGCACAAAAAGTCACCTTTCTTGAGGTGTTTCAGGCCGGAAAGGCCCAAAAAAGGTGACTTTTTGTGCCGGGCTCTTGCGGGGAAGAGGCCCGGCACAAAAAGTCACCTTTTTTGAGGTGTTTGAGGCCGGAAGGTGACTTTTTGCGGGGAAGAGGCCCGGCACAAAAAGTCACCTTTTTTGAGGTGCTTGGGGCCGGAAAGGCCCAAAAAAGGTGACTTTTTGTGCCGGGCTCTTGCGGGGATGCCGGGCTCTTGCGGGGAAGCCTTTAAGGGCTCACGGCTCAGGGCTCAGGGCTCAGGGCTCAGGGCTCAGGGCTCAGGGCTCAGGGCTCAGGGCTTAGGAACTGGTCCGGGAGAAGCACCTTTAGCTGCGGAGGGCAGAGGTTTTTAGGTTTCATTAGCCGAGTGGCATAAGGCGCAGCTCTTATAGCCGAAAGGTTGCCAGTTCAAACCCCCCTCCTGCGCCTTAGGGCTTAGGGCTTAGGGGAAGAGGCCCGGCACAAAAAGTCACCTTTTTTGAGGTGTTTCAGGCCGGAAAGGCCCAAAAAAGGTGACTTTTTGTGCCGGGCTCTTGTGGGGAAGAGGCCCGGCACAAAAAGTCACCTTTTTTGAGGTGTTTCAGGCGGGCTCAGGGCTTAGGGCTTAGGGCTTAGGGGAAGAGGCCCGGCACAACATTTCACCTTTTTTGAGGTGTTTCAAGCCGGAAAGGCCCAAAAAAGGTGACTTTTTGTGCCGGGCCTCTTCCCCGCGTTTAGGGTTTAGGGTTTAGGGTTTAGAGCTTAGAGCACACCGAAAAGCTCTACACTGGTGAGGAGTTACATGTTCCCCAACTCTGTCCCTATACTCACCTCTAATCAACCCTCGAATAAGAAATATATTTCAGGGTCTGGTTCAAACCTAACTTTCTTATTTCCATTTGGGGTTTTAAGAAATTTCGAAACCCTGGCTGAAAAAGGCAGATTTCGTGTTAGAAGCCTCAGCCGTAGCCTTTTTGGGGTTGGTTACATTCTAAGGGAGCCCAGTGCCACAAAAATACGGGGGCAAGAGGGTACCACTGGGCTGCCAAGGCCACCGACACCCCGAGACCATGAACCTTACCTTACTTCTCCAGTAACCAAGGGGAAAAAAAGGCTAAACTTTATGATTCCTACTAAATAAGGACACCCAAAAAGTTTAAAGTTCAACTATTGGCTGAGTAAGTTACACACGCATGGCCTCTGGGATGAAAGAGCTGCATGCGATCAGCAACTGGCTCGAATCCGCATTGGACCTCACCGCCTCCGGGCATTTCCATGCAGATGTTGCTTCAGGTCCAGGACTCATGTGATTCAACGACTCTTGGCAACACACGGCTTGGGGCTTCTGATTTCTGGGGGCCTGAGAGGGTGGACATGTGCAGACTTCAGGCTGCAGGGTTCCTGGGATCATCCCGCGAAAGCTCCTCCTGGGATCCTGGCCATGTCGTGCACTGCATAATCCAGCTCTCGCGGGCCCCATACCTGAAGGACCCGAGTGCTTCTTTGACGCGTTTTTTCGACATGTGCCCACTGCTGGGATACGCTCAGCCGCTAAGTGGCCACAGACCCCCTCCACTTCTTGGTCTAGGAACCGAAATTTATATGTAAATATAAATAAAAATATTAACAATAATAATAATAATAATAATAATAATAATAATAATAATAATAATAATAATAATAATAATAATAATAATAATAATAATAATAATAATATATATATATGCATACACACCACACACACATATATATATATATACAGACAAATAAAAACAATTAAATGAATGAATAAATAAATAATTATAAATCTATATATATATATATATATTCGGAGGTACACATTCAGGGCTACACCTGTTTGGCCAGACGCATTTGGCGAGGGGTCCCTGAGCTGGAACGCATGCACACGGGAAACAACACACCAGAACGCACACACACAGGCACACCCTAAACCCTAAACCCTAAACCCTAAACCCTAAACCCTAAACCCTAAACCCTAAACCACAGGCCGGGCGAACCGCCAACGAAGGCTCCGCCATGGCGGAGCCGACTCAGGATGCGAGGGGCCGCTGGGCCGAAACAGCGAGAAGGGAGGGGGGGCTTGGGGTTTAGGGGTGTAGGGTTCAGGGTTTCTGGTTCGGGGTTCAAGGCTAGGGTTTAGGGTTTAGGGTTTAGGGTTTTAGGGTTTGGGGTTTGGGGTTTAGGGCTAGGGTTTAGGGTTTAGGGTTGGGGTTTAGGGTTTGGGGTTTGGGGTTTAGGGCTAGGGTTTTAGGGTTTAGGGTTTGGGGTTTAGGGCTAGGGTTTAGGGTTTAGGGTTTAGGGTTTTAGGGTTTTAGTGTTTAGGGTTTGGGGTTTAGGCTAGGGTTTGGGGGCTAGGGCTTATTGTTTAGGGGCTTAGAGCTCCGCCATTTTGGCTTCGTTGTGAGGGGCGGCATAGGATTGGGGTTCTGGGTTTGCAGTTTCCAGGGGCTTTTGGATTGCACACGCCGGTCGTAGAGCTTCCCTGGAGGAACCTGCTACCTGCAAGAAGGCAAGACTACGGTACCCAACAGTCAGGGAACGTGTCCCTTTCTCTATACTGTCCTCGGAAACCTAGCAAAATGAAACTTTGAGTTGTTTCTTAAGAATTAAAGTGGCTAACAATCAAAGTTATTTCCAAGTATCCCCAAGTTCTAAGGATAGAGGCAGGGTTGAGAAAGGCCAGGCCTCGGGTGCTGTTGAGTTTCCCGGGGTTTTGGGATGTTGGCCCCAAAACCCCAAACCCACAATCCAAAAAAACCTAACCCTAAACCCTAAACCCTAAACCCTAAACCCTAAACCCTAAACCCCAACGTCCCCACATAGCGAGTCCGGGAGCAGGGTTGCTCAAAGCTCAAGGGGTGACCCGAAAGCCTAATTCTTGAGTCTTAAGTTCAACAGGCTTGGGTTTAGGGTTTAGGGTTTAGGGTTTAGGATTTAGGGTTTAGGGTGTAGGGTTAAGGTTTAGGGTTCAGGGTTTACGGTTTAGGGTTTAGGGAACAGCAAACGTTTCATGCCGCAAACTCAGGTCGGAGCGCATGGATTAGGGTACCGGTATGACAGGTACACCTTGCATCCTGGGACTCGAGCACGGGTTTAGGGTTTAGGGTTTAGGGTTTAGGGTTTAAGGTTTAGGGTTACCCTGAATTGCTGCTTCTGCCCTT